CTAAAACTATATGCAGGCTACGCTGCTTTCATAGACGCACGCACACACACATTATTGCACATGACAACGACAACACAGCACGGAAACTTTTATTAGTAAAATAGATTCGACAGGCTACTGACTCGCAACGTTATATTTCTCTGCAATGAGGATGATATAATTATTTTGCATTATTTTGGCCACCATAATCGTGTGATGAAAATCTAACATTATCACAGTCCTGCTTCATGACATGAGATCCAAAAAAAAGAGAAAATTGTCCTTTGCTCAACCTTGTCATTACCAAACCCATGGGACTTTCTTGTAAATGATGACAGAATTATCCCTAATAAAAGTGTATTACATGAAAATCTGAGTTAGTTTCTGTTATCAACATTGCTTGTGAACCTAGTGCTAAACTGCACGCACTGCTTGTGTTTTCACTATTGACCCTTGAACCTTGACGTGAGACGCGCCTGTTATTTAATTCCCCAATTATACTTTTACTGAGGGCTGTTAAACTTACTTTTCATAATTGCTAAACTGTAGGTGATTTATATTTGTCTTCTATAATAACCTGTCCCTTTAGGTGTATGCGCATGCGTTAGCAAATGTTGTTCGATTGGTTTAATAATGCTGTGTCTGTCATACACAGGCTAACGGGACCCTCAGGCTATCTTTCGGATGGACCAGGAAACTACAAATACAAGACCAAGTGCACATGGCTTATTGAGGGACAGTGAGTATTGGCCTGAAAATGAAACTCTCTTTCTCAGATTAGAGCTCTGAACGTTAAGCCTGAACCTGGCCTGTTAACAAGACCTTGTGTCCTCACCTGACCTGACCATTAATGTTAAATTTTACATTTTGGCTTAACTCAAAATCGATTACTCTTTTATCGTTTGATTAACACCCCCATTTGCATAATACACATTTTGGTTTATTACAAATTTAAACCATTTGTCAGGTCCTGTCAGTTTTGGGTCATGCAGCAGTACTCTATATCAGATACTTAGTATTTGTGTGGGTTACGTTGGTTGATGGTTGTTTTCTTGTCAGGCCGAACTCAATCCTGAGGCTTCGCTTTGAGCACTTTGCCACCGAGTGCAGCTGGGATCATCTGTATGTGTATGATGGAGACTCCATCTACTCTCCTTTACTCGCTGCCTTCAGGTATTCTCATCATTTCTCTTTATTTCTGTGTGTGTGTGTGAGGTGTAAACAAGAGGAGTGAGATGGCCAGGTAATGACCTGTTAATCCAGGATCAGATTAGAATACGGGAATTTCCGCAGGGGCCGCTGTGCTTCTCCAGCTCTCAAGCTCCTTACACCACATCAGACACTGATTTTGAACACAAGCATCCTGTGTGAACGTCCTCTAGGAAATATAACTAAGCTCTGGTGGAAATACCCTGATATATGTGTTATCCATGATTAATTGATTCTTCAACCAAAAGTGTATTATAATTGGATCAAGTGCACAGCATTTGACTGGTCATGTGATCTTAACATTGTAGCATTATTTTATTTTATTTTATTTTATTTTTTAAAGAAATTAATGCTTTTTTCAGCATGTATTAAATTGATCAAAAGTAGAAGTGAAGACATTTTTAATGTTATAAAATATTTTTATTTGAAATAAATGCTGTTCTTTCAAACTTTCTAAAATGTTTTTTTGTGAAGGAATTCTTTTCTTTTCCAGAAAGAATGCATTAAATTACATTTTAAAATATAAAAAAACTGAAAACAGTTATTCTAAATTGTAATAATATTTCACAACAGTACTGTTTCACTGTATTTTTGATCAAATAAATGCGTCCATGGTGAGCAAATTTTAGAAACATAAAAAAAAATTTGCTAACACCAAAATGTTTATTTATTTTTATTTATTAAAGTGGATAAAATTACAATATAGTCATCTGATTTTTAGGATTTTAAGGTCAGTTGCATAAAAATGAATGATTGATGATAGATTGGTCTAATTTGAAAGCAAAATATAAGACTGATTACCCCTCAGGTGAGCCTACAAGTCTAACTATGAACTTGGATAGTGACTCCAATAGTTAGTACAATATTTGACAGAACATCTACAAAACCCCAACCCTAACACTTTAAAAAAAAAAGAGCATTAGAAAGAAAGTACACAGACACTCTACTAGAGTACAATTAAATGAGAAAGCACTGAAACTATTAAATGTGTTGGGTTCCCTGTCAGCAGAGGTATGAAGTATTCAATGTTCTTCTTTTTCATGTTCCAGTGGTTTGATTGTTCCTGAGAGCTACAGCAATGAGACTGTCCCAGAGGTGGTGGCACAGTCTGGTTTCGCCCTGCTGCACTTCTTCAGTGACGCTGCGTATAATCTCACCGGCTTCAACATGTCCTACGGGTAAGCTTTAATTCCTGATGCTCACAGCTGTGCTGTAGTTCTGTTCCAAAACCTAGTGAGCTGCTTGCTTTGACAGCGTCTTAAGGCATTGTGGGCACACTTCCATTAAAACAACTGTTCCAGAAGGTAGACCGCAACATTATGCTGCCAGCTGCCTTATAAGATACCTCAATTTTGTATTTATGCTAAGGCAGTATTGCTTGTATGCATTGTCAGTGAAATCCACGATAGCAGATGGACTGAAAAGTATCTATAGAAATTGATTTGGTTTAATCAAAAATAGGCCACTTTATTTTTAATTTGGCAAAATGCACACAACTCGTAATATGTACACTACAGTTCAAAAGTTTGGGGTCAGTACAATTTTGTTTTTTAGGAAATTAATGCTTTTATTAAGCACGGATGCATTAAATTGATCAAAAGTGACAGTAAGGTAATTTGTAATGTTACTAAAGATTTTTGTTTCAAATAAATAGTTATATGAAACAGTGCATCCTGGTTTCCACAAAAATATTAAGCAGCACAGCTGTTTTCAACATTGATAATAATAAATGTTTCTTGAGCACCAAATCAGCATATTAGAATGATTTCTGAAGGGTTATGTGACACTGGAAGCTCACTAGGTTTTATAGCAGAGCTTTTTACTTGTAAACAAGCTTGTTACCATCTTGGACTTTAAAACTTGAACCTTAATTTATAACTTGTATAGAAAGCTTTCCTGAGCTATGAACACTGGGTTATTTAAGAACGCGTGTTTATAAGGAAAGGTGTCTTGAAATCACATATACATGGCTGCTTTTGAATGGCCAGCACTTTGCTTTGTGGCTGCATAATGGTGTACAGTCATGGCAGTGACGTAAATTTTGTGTTTTGCAAAGTTTACTGCTTCAGTATTTATAGATTATTTTTCCACATGTTTCTATGATATATTGAAAAACAATTATAAGCATATAATAAGTTTTAAAGGCTTTTATTGGCAAAAAAATATTAGCTGACTCCTCAGGAGGACTTCACAGGATAAATTGCATTCTTCTATATACATTGAGTCTTATATGGTAAGATTAATGTTTTTGAAAGAAGTCTTTTTTTGCTCACCAAAACAGTAATATTGTCAAATATTTAGAGATGCACCGATTGACCGGCCAGTGATCAGAATCGGACGATTTTTCGCATGATCGGCCGGGATCGGTGACCGGCCGGTCAGTCTCACGTCTTGCCGATTCCGAGCCGATCCTTTTATTGCCAGCGGCGCCGGCAATGACGGCACAGCCACGCGCACACTCACAGTCGTGTGTAAACATGTCGTTTCGCGTGAGAATGATTCTAATTTTAATTGCATTCAGTGTAAACGGCGACTGATAATGTATTTATGTCGTGCCAGATGAGGCTTGCACAGCCTGAGTGAGTGTGTGAGAGAGACAGCACACACAAAGTAGCCTAACTCACAGAAATTTATAGATGCATACCGCGGTAGAAAAAAAAGATATTTACAAAATATGATTTAGGTAAGCAACATTATACAGCCATGATGTTTCCCCGAATATCAATATCAACATGATTGCAATGCGACACTGATTTTATACAATAGTATTTCAACAAAAAATGAATTAAAATTAAGGGACTTAGATTTTATACAAAATATTGACTGTTTTTGCTCCATTTCGCTGACAAAAATAGTTCTGATCAAAGCCACAGCAAAACCGTTGTGTGTCTCCAAGCAACACACAGCGGTGTTTCATTACTGAATGAATCCACGTTTTTGAATGAATCGAGTGAATCAATGATTCAGTGGCCCATTCATAAGGACAGTCACTTGCCTCGTTTCAGAATGAATGAGCCGTTTGAATGAATCGGTTGAATGAATGAATAAATGACTCACTCATTAAAACAGACATTTGCTGCCACCTACTGGTGGTTTAGTCATATTTAAAAGTATCATTGCATTTTTTTCAACATTTATATGTATGTTTAAAAAAATTTGTAAAATATTAAAGGGTTAGTTCACCCAAAAATTAAAATTAGCCCATAAATTACTCACCCTCAAGTCATCCTAGGTGTATATGACTTTCTTATTTTAAAAGACGAATCCAGTCGGAGTTATATTAAAAATAGTCTTTGATCTTTCAAGCTGTTTCATGGCACTCAGAGGGTGTTGCATGCATCAGTCCAAAAGAAGTTAAATAAAAAGCGCCCATCCATAAAAAAAAATGTCTCACACGGCTCTGGGGGGTGAACAAAGGCCTTCTGTAGAGAATCGATGTGTTTTTGTAAGAAAAATGTCCATATTCAAAACGTAATAATCACTTTAATGTAGCTTGCGCTCACTGTTGTACACGGAAGCAGTTCCGGGCGGATGACTTATGGAGGTCGGCTTTACACATGCAGAAGTGACGCATGCAGAAGTGCAAAAAATTAAAAAATACTAACATTTGTTTCCTGGGGATTAATTTTACATGCGCAAAAAGCAGCAAACAACAGAACATGAGGATTCACATGGTCATCATATCACATCACGCACCTGCAGCGCTTCTGCGAGCGGAGAAAAACATAATAAAGCTAGTCTATATATATATATATATACATATACACACACACTGAACAAAATTATAAACGCAACACTTTTGTTATTTATGCATTTGAAATTTTGCAGTAAAAATGCATTTATGGCACCTCAGCTTCATCAAACTGTCTGTGTAAATTTATAGGAATTCAAAATAACTTCTTATTTTTATATACTTTAAAATGTAATTTATTTCTGTGATGGCAAAGCTTAATTTTCAGCAGCATTACTCCAGTTTTAAATGGCACATGATTCTTCAGAAATCATTCTAATATGCTGATTTGATGCTCGAGAAACATTTCTTATTATTATCAATGCTGACAACAGTTGTGCTGCTTGATATTTTGGTGAAAAGCATGATACATTTTTTTTCAGAATTCTTTGATAAACAGAGGACAGAGGAAACGCAGATGTCTTTGACCTCGGTGTCTGTGGCAGGGACTGCTCATGCGAAGTCCTGACGGTGACTGCGGCGGTCTCTATAGAGACTGCATTAACAGGGGCCCAAAAAAACACTGGAGTGCAGTATCAATAGAACATCAAACACCAATCCTGACACACACTGCAGACACTCACAAAACCGCGTAAAGCTGAAAGACTGATGCTAGACTGCCTGTTATTTTCTTCCCGTGTTCAGCTGTAGAGGGGAGTGAGCTGCCTACTAATGCGGCTGTTCAGGCTAATGCCAGTACAGGTTGTATTGAAATAAACCGTTTTCACCTCAATCGAGCTCCTCCCTCAGTTTCTTATTACATACCTTCGAGCTACAAAAGCAATTATTAACTTAAGATGAAGTTCAAATATTAACCAAATGTCTCATGTAAGTTTATATTTGGTTGTTGTAAATCCTTTATGGACAGGGCAATGTGACACAGCTTTGCAGTTCAGAGTGTCGCTGAATCGGTGTACTGCAGCTAAATCTGAATCAAGACATTTTTAGCCTGGACTAAATGTCCGTTGTAAAGCCAGACACTGTTTTATAGGGGAAATCGGCAGACAATATTGGCAACATCTAATGTCTACTGAGTACAATGTCTAACTGTGTGCTGGAAAAGGTAAATGCCCAAGCAAACAGTGTAACAATAGGCTTACATAAGGTGTGGTGGGTGCAAGGAAAATCAGTAATAATATCAGGGCTTTTGTCTGTAACGTATTACAAAATTAGTGAACTGTTGTCTATATTTTATAATGTTTTGATGGCTGATATCACCATGTAAAATTCTATTTTTAGGATTTTTAATTCATTTATGTGTCTTAGTAAAACAGTAAATAACTAGATTTATAGTATAAAATAAATTTTCAGTCATAAAAATTCTGTACTGGGAAAAAAATAAAGATTTTTTTTTTAATCAACATAAAAGTGCTTCAAGTACACCATTTGTAGGTTGACTACCTGAACAGTGTTATTATAGCATTCATATAAAATTAAAGTATTTATTTAGTATTTATTATTTACTTTGAATTAGCTTTTTATATTTTTATGTTGCATTTTAGTTTTAGTACTTCAACTTAATTTGATGATAATTTGAAATGTTGCCTTGGCAACTAAAATAAAAAGTTTTTCACTGCATAAAAATATTTATTTAAAAAATATGTATATTTATTTTTATTTGCATTTCAGCTTTATTTCAATTAATAAATTATTTTAATAGTTTTGGTCAGCAACAGGGCTGAAAAATAGATCAAAATAATGCAATTTTACAAATCGAGATTTGCATATTGCAAGGACTTGGAATGATTGCAACAATGGAATGATTTTAATACTTTAGAAAGTTGCAAAGAAAGGTTTAGGTTGACACAAATAGCTATCAATTTAGTGCCGAAAGTAGTATGTTGCTCATATTGTTTTCAGCTTTTAAATGTATTTAAATATAATTTACATTTATTTTAATTTGCATTACAAATCACTTGTTATTTAACAGGTTGTCACAAAACCACACAATTATTAAACAGGTTATCACATTTTCCATCAATGTCATACAGCCCTAGTTAGTAGTTAACAATAACAACACTGTTCCTGAAAATTATAAACATGTTGGCTCTATCAGAACTTTGCTTTGATTGAGCAGTCTGACATATCAACGTCAGTCTTGGCCAATGCGTGGGGCTACCTGAAGTAAGCTGTTAGCAGGAAATTGTTGTCCAAACAATGGAAGACCAGAAACAATCCTTATTTAAGCAGTTCTGCCAGTAATGCAGCAATTGCACACTTGCACACAGGGCTCTACGCTTACTTTTCTTTTTAGGAGCACTTGTGCTCCTAACTTAAAAAATTTAGGACTCATTCGAACGGCTGATTCATTCAGTAATGAAGCAAGTGACTGTCTTTATGAATGGGTAATTATGAATCACTGACTCACTAGATTCGTTTAAAAACCCTGTTCATTCATAAACGAAACACCGCTGTGTTTGAATGGAGATGCGCTGTGTC